AAGGCAAGGTAATATTTTCAACTCGAGAGAAAGTAATCGCAAAGAGGAAGTCAGAGAGGAACAATCTGAGGCAAGTGAAGACATCAAAAGTGGGCCTACTTAAAGCAAGTAGAACAACTATCACATTTTAGGGTTGGCACAGAAGAGCCTACGGCATGAAAATGTCACAAATTTGGCATTATGGATAGCAGCACGAGAGATGCGGCGGAGACCAGTGATAATTGGCCATTAGTAGATAAGTGTTATCATAGAGGTGGTCCCTGAATTTTAAGGCTTGACCATGCAATTTGCCCAGTGCACATGTCAAACGGTGATACGGGTCAAAGTATTGACATCAATTGTCTCTTTGACGAGTTTTAGTGCGCTGCTAAGACTGACAAGACTCACTGACGATGCCGGCGAAGCGTCTGGAAATGTATAAAGTCAACGATCCGATGTTGGATTCATCATGGATCCTATGGCAGAGGACTCCGTCCTCTCCGTCTAAGTTGTTCTGACAGTATGATCAGATAAAAAAAAATGAGGTAAACTACGTCTATACAAAGAAAGGTGAGTGCGACATACAACAGGCCACACTAATTCTGTCTTCACATCTCCGATTGAGGTGAATAAACTCTTAATTGTAAGATCTTTTGTGATTAGTTTATGGGCCACTGCTATGGCGAGCGTGGTCTCCTTGAGGCTCAAAGATAAATGCTTCGTTACAATATTCCAAATGGATTGTGTGAGTCATATGTTTTCAGCACACTTGGTACCTCCAGACCAAAATCGCAACCACCCATTCGCAGTCTTTTTAAGGAAGCCCTGAGCTTCTTCACTTTGTGCCATATGATAGGAATTTTCTCAACAGATTCTCCAATTATCAAAATGTACAAAGATGCTCTCTACGGACATAACTTGCCGTTTGCTCATAAAGATGCATCTGATCCACTCAAACAGTTGCAGATCATAGAGTCGATCCAATGATAGTTTGGTGAATGCTAATTTCATTCTGATAATATGTGAAAAGAAAGTACAGGATAGCTGCGATCATCGAAACACCTGGCAGAGGAGAGACTGGGACGGAGTGCAGATGAGCAGAGGCAAATGCTAGTTGGGTGGGTGAATGGTGAGGTCGCATCTTCACAGGTCCATCTAGAGACCTGGATGTCACTTCCTGCCGAAGGGGAGAGTATGGCGGCCTAAATCAACTTTTCCCGTGGGAGCTCGAGAAAGAGAAAATTGGTAAGGGTTGTCAGATTTGATCGTCCATAGCCGGGATAAAAGCGTCCTGCACTACCCACTCGATACAAGTCCTCGACTTTTTAGGCGTATTCCATTTGCTTTTGCCTTCTACCTTGCCACACACACACACACACACACACCTTCACACAATGGCATAATTATGCCTATGAATGTGTACACATTCGGCATGTATGCGAGGTGGGATATGGGTATGCGTTTAAGAGTGCATTTTCAGGAGTGTGGTTCTAATTAGTTCTATGCTAGTGACAGCAAGGCACGTCATGTACCGGCTTGATTTGACTTATTAACTAATTATGTAAAGACAGCCAAGTGAGGCAGATCGACAGGTATTGTAATAGTCCCTGCAATTCCCGTTCGGGCACAGATGACGCCATTGCGACGTGGACATGCCGCGAGGTAAGTCGGGTTGGCAGAGGAGCCGAGGACGACACGAGGATGGCCGAATAAAGCCGGCCAAGGATAGGGGGCAGCGATTGTGTGCTTGTGTGTGTCTGTGGGCATGTCAAGGTGGGCACGTTTCTGCATATGTACGTGTCGCTGGCTTTGCGTATTTTTTCCTGGTCTGTGTGCAAACTGTGCCGTGGGCAAGGAATTTAGAAGTGGCGGGATCGTCCTACAAGATAGACAAAGAGTCCATGTTGAGGGGACTAGACGAGTAGATTGAGTCAAGAAGATACTCCGTCTGGAAATGGGTAGGCCAGAATTGTTATTTGAATGAAGCGGTGTTGAATGCAATTTGAAGCTGATTTCTCATTCAGTAGTAGGTTTTCGAGATTGCATCTGATATGATTTGGGATTGATTCTGTAGTCAAACTTACTTTCTTGGTAGTTTTGTCGTTTGGTTGAACAATGGTCCGACTAATGTACAAATGATAACTCCGTCACTCTAAATGCTACTACCATTATTATTCTTACTACTAATACTACTACTACTACTATTAGAAATAATAATTATAAACTTAATATGACAACAACAATAGCTATAAATACTAATACTATTAAAAATATTGCTACTACCACCACCTAGGATACTACTCAATAAGTACAAAGTATTAATCCTTTGCCATACCAACATTAGCCTTCAATTGGTTTGGAATTATCCCAAGTGTTTTAGCTTCTGTTAGGGGGACCTTCATTTCGTATGAAAGTGCATGAAGACGAGATCTGTTGGTCGATCTCACCAGATCGTTGTACTCGCTGTACTGCAGCCGTTTGGATTTTATACGATATTCATGTTGACGCAGTCTACGGGACTTCCTCCCTCGTTTAGGGTTAAAACGTGCTGAGCTTTTCGAAGGTATGAAAAGCAAGATGGTGTGGCCTTTTGTGTGGTCGCAGTCTCCTTTCGTTGAATAGAAGTTTTTTGACCTTGTTTTCGCAACTCGGTCGTATTTGTAGGAAGACATAGAGGAACGCACCTAGTCCTGAGTCCATTGAATGTATCATCATTTCCAGAGTAGGACCGTAGACTTGGTACATTCCCAGACGTTTCGCCGGCATCGTAGTGGGCATCGTCATGGTGCTAAGAATGGCGAGACTCACTGACTATGCCAACTACGATGCCGGTGAAACGTCTGGGAATGTACCACGTCCACGGTCCTCCTCTGGAAATGATGATGCATACAATGGACTCAGGACAAGTTTCGTTTCTAGAAGTCTTTCTACCAATATGACCAAGTTGCGAAGACAAGGTCAAACAAGTCCTGAGCTTTCGTCCATCATATGATGGAAATTATCAGAGCTTAGTTTCATTTTTGTAAGATTCTCACGTTAATAGTAGGCCAAGAAGACTATCCGGCTTTATCTTACTTCCTATATAGACTCAGTACGCCAAAAGAAAATTAAAAATTAAAAACCTAGATGGATATAGAGTGGTTTGGCTAATTATGTTTCATACTTCTCCTGCTACTTTTGCTCGAGTGTATGCGTGTGTGTGTTAGCGTCAATACGCAATACCGGTTCTAAATCAGAGTTATCAAAAGGTTAAAGTTATGCTATGATCATCAAGGCCTAATGACCTCAAAGAAAGGTCCCCCTAACAATGTTATCTCAGGAGATTCATCGAAACCAAGTTTCTCTTCGTATCCATTTTAGCTTCTGCCCGGACGACAGTTTGTACAAGCAAAATTACGTCATAGCTAATAAAAAATGCAAGTAACTTTTGAGATGTCAGAAAAATTGAAGATTTTTTTGTGGAACCCCATTCGAATACATTATGAGTTTCGAGTAGGTTTTTGAGACCTCAGATACATGATATGTATTTACCATATTTCACTAAAAGTGATGTGGGACTGGCAGTTGAATTTTCCCATACTGCTGTACATACTGTACATTTTCATTTAACTTCACATTGCCTTGCTTTCCCAAAAGGTGGCCTCATCCAGAATGGATTATCGTTAAAACCTTGATCAGTACCGCGTATAATTTTGACAAGTGAACTGCTACCACGCATTGACTAGAATGCCCTTGGATCACAGGCCAGATGTAGATTTCGAGGAAGGCCAGGTATTTTCCCCTGTCACATCCTGTGGTGGGAATACGGGTAATACAATATTATAATCTTATACAATCTTGACCTAGTGTTAATTTGAGACTTTTACCAGAATGAGTTTCAGCTCTGATGATGTACATCATATGATAGATGATAGCTCAGCTTGTTTTCACCTGAAACGAGGGAGGAGGCCTTGTCGACTGCGTCAGCCTGAACGTCGCATAAAAGCCAAACGGCTGCAGTAAAACGGGATTCAGCCGTCCTCTCACCCACGATCCACGAATCTCTTCTTCATGCACCTTCATACAAAATGAAAGTCCCCTCAACAATTTTACATTTGCTAAAGCAATCGACAAAAATAGTCATTTTTTTATTGTGACTAGATTTTGGAGACTACCAGTAAATCTATGTTTCGAAATCACAGTCTCGAAAACATAGTCAAAACTAAAATATAAATAATCTCGTCGATTGCTACAGCAAATATAACTTTGTCTAATCGACAATCCCGCCACAGAAAGTGTTATAGGAAAATGCCTGGTCTTCCGAGAAATTCACATCTGCCATGCGGCAATGTAGCGCAGTTGGTAAAGTGTCGAGATTATGCGTTGCTATGTGAAATTCAATGGAAACGTCAGCATTATTCATATCATTGTGGTAAAATTCAGCTACCAGCCTTTCACTACTTTAAACTAATTTGGATGAATACATCTCATACATTTTGAGTGTTTTTGAGCAAGATTATTCTCTTAGAATTGTTGAGCTTATTTCCATTTCGAGTGAAATTGTTGGGTAAAAAGATTAGAAGATCGGTGTTCTACTAAGTCGCCCTGACAACAAGACCAAGCTGCGAAAACGAGGTCAACCCACTTCAAGCAATACTAAATCCTAAATTGTGGGCTAGATGCATGGATGATTATTTAGTCATCTCAGATAGTTTCATGTTTTCACTTAGCCAAAGTGAAACGAACATTGAGCTCAAAATGGAAATATGAGAGAATAAGTCCCGAGACGTTCTTTTGTGTCCTAATTTTGCCGTCATGTCTAATTTCCAAAAAGATAGGCGAACTAGTGAAGAATTGGGGGATGAAAACAGGGATCAAAAAAACCCGAACTCTTTCTTTGGTTATGATTCCACTGGGAAATAAATATGACCTACTATCGAGATATTGCTGCTACAAGATTGTGTGCTCTTGTGGTTGACCCCATGATGATGTGAAATGCCAGCCTATTGGACAAAGATTAGGTGTATTTGAATAGAGTTTCGAGACTACCAGTAAATCAGTAATATGAGATGTATTCACCCAATTTCGTTGAAGGTGATAAAGGACTGGTAGCAGAATTTTCCCACAATGATATGAGTAAAGCTGACGTTTCCAGTTAATTTCACAGAGCTTTGCTTTCCCAAAAGTTGTTCTCATCCAGGCTGAATTGGACTGCAGTTTCGATCTCGCATCGGTCTTATCAACTTTTGGGAAACCAAGGCTCTGTTAAATTCAATGGAAACGTCAGCTCTACTCTTATCATTGTGAGAAAATTCTTCTTCTACCAGTCATTCATCACCTTAAATGAAATAGGGTGAATACATCTCATATTAAAGATTAAGTGGACAAGCAAATGCTTGCAAAGGCAGCTCAGTCCAACGCTCAGAAGTGACCAAATATATGGCAGAGACTGGATATGGCCTCAAACAAGTATATTTGCTGATTATAATATTTCTGTTGCTAAAATGAAGGTTGGAGAGACTATTGAAATTAACTGATTAGGGAATACGTTGAAGATAAGGAGTGGTAGAAATTTGCGTAAGAACTTCGTAAATTCTTATATACATCCTTACATAATTTATTCCCATTTTGCTTACTAATAAAGGAATGATAGGTTATATGAGAGAGAGGCAGTTGAGCCCCCATCCAAAATGAGGCTCCTCAATTTGTCCACTCATTGATGGTCCTAACTTAACTCCCACTTGTCCAACATATTAGATTAGGCTAATTAACCATACCAGTTGTACGAGATTACGCAGCCCCAGCCATACCTTTATTTGAGTTGTTAAATCTTAATGACTCTAGACTGACAGGTTATGACAAGTGATTTGATATCTTTGCTTACACTCTTACAAGCTTATATCGCATTATCTCAACCAGAGTTGCTTACTGACTTACGTCTTCTCGGCGAACACTTATTCCTTGATCATAAACTTTGATGGCACTAGCCTGAAATTAGGCTTGTATGAACTCTCTTATTTAGGACTGGTATTTTCTATGGACGCTATAACACACACACACACACACAAACACACACACACACACACACATACATACATTCGAGAAAAAGTAACATGAAAAATATGAAAAATAATTGGCCAAACCAATCTAATATATTCTGAAGACTTTCATTTTGTATGAAAGTACCTAATGAAGAGAGTCATAGGTTAATCTCTCCAGAAGATGCCAGCTGATTCGTGTTCTACAACAGCCATTTAACATTCTACTACTGCATTTAGGTAGATCTAGTCCACGAGGAATCCTGCAACACTTCGGGCGAAAACAAGCGCTCCGCTCAGTGAAGCGGCAGTGTATGTGCTTCTAGGGCCTTGAGAAATAGCGCCAGAAGTGAAATGCACACAGAGATTGGACCCGAGTGAAG